ATCCCAAAATTTCAGCTTTCTAGCTTTTCTGGTTTCTAAGTTAGCGATTTTCCCGCCAAAACTTTGGGGCACTCATACGCGGGGCCCAGACGTGCTTAAGGGTTGGTACCGCGGTCCTAGGGTGGCACTTGGCCGGGGAACCCACTAGCAAAATTTTGGTTCCGGAGCTTGCTTCGATGCCGAGTTGAAACATGCGGACAGACGCACACACACACATACACACATACATACACACACACACACCCGGGTCGTCACAATATGTGTTTTTGCATATTATGCAAAAACGCAGGAAAACCGGCCAACGCACGGGTTGCCCGTGCGAAGATGCGTCTTTTGCATGGTTCCCAGCAGTTTTTGTTGCTACCGGCACCGGTTTTTCCAACAAATGCTTCTAGCTAAACAAATTAAGATTGGCTGTCAGGAACACCCCCTGAAAATTTCAGCTTTCAAGCTTTCCTGGCTTCTGAGTTAGCAACTTACTCGAAAAAAACTTTCACGAAACCGAAGGTGGATACCACACCTACCCTGGGACACACACACACAGACAACCTCTCATCAATATGCTTTTCCGCATTGCATGGCTGCAAAAAACGGATAATAAATTCACGCGTTTAACTTATCCGTAGTGGTCAACCGATCACTGAGCTTTTGATCGGTTAACTCATAAAGGGCAGAGAGAGGTGGACGATTACCTTTAGCCCCTAAATTTTGACGTAATCACAAAAGATTGAAAAACTTTGGGTAAAATTCTTAAAGAAATCTTTTATTCGAAATTTTATATTTAGTTTGCTATTTTTGTTTAAAATTAATTTTTTAAAATTTCCACTCTGTGCTTTTCAGAATTTGTAAGTTAAAACATATTTTCTGTTTATAAACCAAAACATTTTAAATTTTGAAATTTTTCCTGAATTAGTATGAAAAAGTCGATATTTTAAATTTGAAAAATCATCTAAATCTTTACTCCTATTTGCTTTTCTACATTCGATTTATGTGTTTGCATTTATAAGTATGAGTAAGTGAATATTTATATAAACTTCTATATTCAAAATTCTATAAATATTTTATTTATACAAAGAACCAGCTGATCCCATAGTTTTTCTGCTTCTACATTCCGAAAATCATGAAATCGCAAAAGAAGAAATATTGACAATGTAACAATCACTCACTGTTGGAGTCCAGGCAAATTTCATTGAATAATCGACCAGATGGCTCCTGGCCAACACAGGAATGCACCTAAATCAAGTGTTTTTGAAATTTGCTAAGAAACTGCATATGCCAGCAGGAAGAAAAACAGAACTTACACCCCAGGCTGGAAAACACCAAGTTTGATGTTGCGATCATGTGGTTTTGTATTTAACTTGAAGGAATCAGCACAAAGTTGAGAATGAGACATGCTTGTGAAAATGCACACAGGAAGTGAACTGATTACAGTAGTCTACAGAAGTGCTCGTTTTCCATACGTGGGTGTATAGACAAAACGAACTTTGGCGTTCGCCTGTTTCGCATATTCGTATAATTCTAAGACAATTGCAAAGGAACGCTATTTCGCCAGCCAGCGATGCTAGGAAGCTGAACTTTACAAGGATATTTTATATTCATGTTGGTCCGAAATATTTTAAACTCAGCTCAAAGTGCGAGAGCACTGTTTGCACCCAATAGACTCTGTAGACCGAGAAGGAATCATCCTCAAAAGGAAGCGCTGCCAACTAGAAAAAACATAACGATAAAATGACAGTTGTTGAAAGCAATAAGTGCCTGTTGCTGCACCAGGGATTTAAAGCTATTTTGCTTATCAACATCATCATCAGGAAATTCCAAAAAACACAAGCGAACACAAGACATATATACATACATATATAAGTACATTTATACATACATATATATACATACATACAAATACACATACATGCATGCATGCATGCGTACATACATACACATGTATATAAAAACACTTGGGCATACTCACTTTGTCGGCTCCAAGTTCGTCCAGAACAGCAGCATATGTGAAGGGCTTGGAAACACTTTGCATACAAAACGGTACTTTGCTAGAGCCCCATGAGCGGCGCTGTCCGTCTACGGTACAAATTGACAAAGCCCAGTGATTCGGATCCGAGCGAGCTAGTTGTGGAATGTAGCTAGCAACCTGCAAGAATTTGATCACTTTTAGTGAAACGAAGACACATTTTTTGTAAATTTATTATCATATCTTCTTTAGAGCTTCGGAAACACATTCGTCAAACAGGCGACGCTTTGAAAAAGTACTGGAATAATTTTTTTGTTCTTAGTTTTTGGTCAAAGCATTGGTCAAGGGAGATGCAGAACTGATCCAAAAAGATGGAGCACTGCTCAAGGAAATGGTTAAAGAGATGCTGCATTAGCCAAAATAGTTTGAAAAGTTGACAGCCGCATAGATGGAGAAACAAACCATGGATTATTTGGTCCATGATTATTTGATTATTTGGTCCTTCGGTTTTCTCAAAAACTGAACTTCTGCACAAATCGAATGATGGAGCTTTGACGTTGAATATGCTCGCTTCTCTGAGAAATTTTGATTACGAATTCTGACCGAGCAATTTGGGGTCAGAGTCTCAAATTTCCGTCAGACAAAACTAATCTACCATCGGAAGAATCAATGAAGCACGGCTTCATTGATTCTCCCGATAGTAGATTAATTTCCGATGGTAGATTAAAGCACGGCTTTTCATTAGTAATCGTTTGTAAAACAGGCTAACATTTCCTTCGACGATATCCTGACATGACTCGAAAATATCACCAATGACTGTCGAGAAGGCAGACCAGTCCGGGATGACTAACTGACCTTTCAGTGCTTTTGCAATAATTCCAATTGCATCGCCAACAGATCTAAACATTTGTTGTTACATACAGCAGTAATATCAGTTGGCCCATTTACGGACAGTTAATCAATATGATATCAAAATCCACAAACTTAGTAAAGCTCGACCTCATATAATAGTTTTACTGTGCTCGTCTCCTTCCCCACCAAATACGCATTCATTCACACACACACGCACACACACAC